TGACGGGCAAGAGCATCTGACCACACGCATTTCCAAGTGTCATGACCACCACCCTTTAGTGCAGGGCCAATTGCCCTTCCCTTTCTTTCTCCTTTTCCATATACTGTGCCCATTGTACTGGGGAGTGCAAAGATGAATTACGATGGCTTCTTCCCTCGTGCTCACAGTCCCCGATGGGAGAGTAAGTAGCCAGGGGACAGAACAGAATGATCCTAAGAGCTCTGAAGGGGCCAAGGGAACACAAAGGAAACCAGGAAGCGAGGAGGGGCTGGTCAGGGAGACTTCCCAGAGAAAGGGTAAGAGGAATACTGGTGTTCCTCCTGCCAGTGTTCATATGCTCAGATCCCAACCACCAAAATGATGCTAAGACGTGAGGGCTTGGGGAGGTAATGAGGTCAGGTGCTTAGGGCCTCCACGAATGGGACTGGTGCCTTTATAAGAGACAGGAGCTATTCTGTCTCTGCTTGCTGGCAGGTGAGGGCATAATGACCATTTGCAAGCTGGGGGTGGGGGAATCTTCCCAAGACACTAGATCTGCCTGCACCTTGATCTTGAACTTCCCTGCCTCCGGAACTATGAGAAATAAATTGTTAAACTTGGTCTATAGTGATTTGCTAAAACTGAGGCACGAGTTTTTTGAGGTGAAAATCACATAAGTTAGTAATTTTAGTGTACCATTCTGTGACATTCAGAACATCCACATGGCTGCACAGTGACCACCTCTGTGCAGTTCCCAAACATTTCATGACCCCCAAAGTGAACCCTGTACCCACTGGCCGCTACTCCCATAGGAAGGTTTTAAAACAGGCAGGAATTACTTCCCAGGCAGGCCAGAAAGAGGAACTTTAAGACCTTGGGATGTCGTCACCTGGGATGGTGCAAATGTGTGTCTGGGGGTTGAAGGAATGATGGGGTGAGGTGGCAGGAAGGCAGGACATGGGCAGTGGAGGCCATATATGTGCCAACTTGTCCCAAAGGCAGCACAAGCTGGTCAAGGGTGGAAGAAATTGGGACTCATTTGAGCAATCCCATCCCTGCAGGGATTCTGTCAACTTTCATATGAATTCCTATGAGCCAGGGTTTCTCAGCCTTGGCACTGTTGATGTTTAGGGGGGGCAACCCTGCTGTGGAGGCTGCCTTACGTACTGTAGGATATTTAGCAGCCCCTCTGGCCTCTGCCCACAGATACCAATAGCATTCATCCCACTCCCGACTTTGACAACCAAATATGTCTGTTGACATTGCCAAATGCCCCCCACCCACCCCGGGGAAAGTGCCCAGGATGAGATCCTTGGAAGGATGCCGACTCAGTACTCCCGGTTCCAATGAAGAAGGCACACCACATGGAGCAGCAGGAGACGCCCTCTGAGCTCTGTAGACACAAGACAACATGGGGCAGGCCCAGCTCTCAAGGCGCTGGAACCTAGATTGTCAACACAAGTGTTAAAACTGCATTCCTTCCTCCATTCATTCAGCAACCACCTGGTGCTTACCATGATCCAGGACTCAAGGACATCTTAACTGGGATGAGTAACTGAAGGAGTTAGCATTTTTCTTCCTGTGCCCACAAAGGAAGAAGGTGGGGAGAGAAGGAAGCTGAAGAGACCCTCTTTCAAGGAGGGTAGTGGTGGTGCTTCTTCCCACCAGTTCCTCACCCTCCCAGTGCCTCTGTAGGGCAGCACACGGCAGAATGGCTATGGGATAGGATACTCCAGGCCAGGGGGCCCTTGGCAAAGATTCCTGGGTTCAAAGATGGCACAGAGACTGAAGGACTGATGGCTTCAAGGATGATGTGGCTTGGTGCATGTCAGTGGGTCTAGTGTGAATCTGAGTGCCTGCCTCAAATAGCCTGGACTGTGAGAGACTCTTGGAGCTTCACATAGACAAACAGGGAAAGGAAAGTTGCTTCAAGTACAGCAAAACTTTTTTTTTTTTTTGCTATCCCGGTAGGGTAGGGGCTCTGAGTCAGATTTTACTGAATTTGAAAGTTTCTTTCTTCTCCTCTTTCTCCTTCTCTTCCTTCTCACTCCCCTTCTCCTCCCCTTTTCTTCCTCCTCCTGTGGTTTGAACTTAGGGCCTCACGCTTGCTAGACAGGTTCTCTACCACTTGAGACACACGCCCAGCCCTTTTGGATTGTTTTTTAGATAAGGTCTTATGCTTTTGCGCTTTTTTGCACAAACAGGGACCTGCAGTCTAATAGAAAACTTCCTGGCCCACACTGCCTGTTGTTCCTGAGAACATTCCAAGGAATTTTGTACCAGGGTTACCCTTTGATTTAATCACAACTGCATAAAAGTGCTCAAGTCCATTTACAAAGAAAACAGCTTAACCGGCTTCGTTACTTGCCCATGGCTTTTAAGTATCAGATCTAGTACCAGAATCCACTATGAATTCTTCCCAATGCAGTCCTGCTTTGAGTTCACGAGGGAGGAGAAAAACTTTGGTCAGGCCATGGGCAGCTACTGATTTATCAGGAGGACCTTGTGTTCATCTCCTACAGGGTTTGTTTCCTCACCATTTCACAGGCGAAGAGGACTGTGTGTGTTTTATGCACATATTAAGCAAGGTGCAGGGCATAATTTTTGGGTTAGCTCCTCCGACAACACACTGCCCTAGATGTTAGGGAACTGCTGATATCCAGAAGTGATGACAGGTTGCAGGTTGGTAGGAAGCTGAGCCAGGCCTCTACAAGCAGGGTAGCATCAGTGAGGGGCTGTTCACAATGGCTACTATGCTTACAGGACATGCCCTGGGGCGGAGAGGGAAATGACGGAGGGCCACACCCACCTAGTGATAACTTGTCACTTCCAGGGAAATGATGGTGTTTAAACCGTACCTTCTTGGCTCTGGGTTAAAAAGTAGCACTGGTAGTTTGTATCTGCTCTTCCTCAGGCTGGAAGCAATTTCTGTAAAAGGTTGGGGTTTGAAAATATCAAAAGAAGGCTAGTTAAGAAAAGTGATTGTTTTCTGAGCTCTCATTTCTCAAAGGAGCAACTGTATACCATGGATCAGAATGACAGATTAAAAGACCATTGTTCAGAAGGGTAGAAGGCCTTCAATCAGACAGTCCTATAAGAGGAAGTTAGACTTTGAGTTAGACTTTTTTTTTCCCCAGTGGTACTGGGGTTTGAACTCAGGGCCTCATACTTGCTAGGCAGGCACTCTACTACTTGAGCCACTTCCTCCAGCCCTTTTTTGTGAAGGGTTTTTCAGATAGGGTCTTGTGAACTATTTGCCAGGCTGGCTTTGACCCGATCCTCCTGATCTCTGCCTCCAGAGTAGCTAGGATTACAGGTGTGAGCTACCTGAGCCCAGCCCTTCCTAGCTTTTAAGTGTCTCCAGAGGCTAATAATAAAATAGCTTTGCACGGCCTGAGCAGCGATGCTGGGCTGGGAGGTCCAGCCAGAGTGAGCAGAGCAGAAACTGCCAGCGTCAAAGGGTGCTGCTCCAACTCTCTTGTGAATCTGCATCTGCAGGAGGAGGAAGAGACCTGTTTTTCTCCTGACTTTGCTTTAAGAGAAACAACAGAAATGTCCTGCCAAATACTTTCAG